GGGGGGGCTCACAGAGGGGGTCCGCTGCAGCTGGGGGGAGCTCACAGAGGGGGTCCACTGCAGCTGGGGGGCTCACAGAGGGGGTCCACTGCAGCTGGGGGGCTCACAGAGGGGGTCCACTGCAGCTGGGGGGGAACTCACAGAGGGGTCCGCTGCAGCTGGGGGGCTCACAGAGGGGGTCCACTGCAGCTGGGGGGCTCACAGAGGGGGTTCGCTGCTGGTGGTGGGGGGGCTCACAGAGCACTTTGTTTTGCAGTGATGATGAAGGAATCCAAACTGACCAACTTCCAGCAACGACACATCATGGATACCATGAAAAGTAAGGACAGTCACTCTAGAGACTTCCTGGGCAGAGGGACCAGGGATACATTTTTTCTATTATTTATTTTTATCTTGTGTGCAGGCGTATCGGGTCCCCTAGAACTGAAACACACAGCCGTGAGAATTGAACCCAGGTCCTCTGAAAGAGCAATCAGTGTTCTCAAGCACTGAGTCATCTCTCCAGCCCTCCCAGGGAGACATTTTTAATGCTCCTCTATATGAAGGGGAAGGGGAGTTCATTTCAGAGGGCAGAGATGAAGCCAGACGTGGTGATGCACACCTCTAGTCCCAGCACTCAGGAGGCAGAGGCAGGCGGATCTCTGTTAGTTCGAGGCCAGCCTGGTCTACAGAGTGAGTTCCAGGGCAGCCATGGTCATTACACAGAGAAAGCCTGTCTTGAAAAACAAAAACAAACAAACAAAAAGTCCCAGGCCAGCCAGGGCTACATAGTGAGACCCTGTTTCATAAAAATGCATTGGCGAGAGTGAGGCGGGCTGGAGAGAGGGCTAAGTGGTCAAGAGAAGGTACTGCTCTTGTAGAGGACCTGAGTTTGTTTCCCAGCTCCCATGCTGGGTGACTCACAACCACCTGCAACTCCAGCTCCAGGGCCATCCCATATCTCTGGCCTCAGTGCACACTGCACTCATTCAGAGACACACAGGCACATATGTATCTATATATGACTAAAAATAAAATATATATATTTTTTGTTTTTTAAGACAGAGTTTCTCTGTGTAGCCTTGGCTGTCCTGGAACTTGCTTTGTAGACGAAGCTGGCCTGGAACTCAAGAGATCCACTTGCCTCTGCCTCCCAAGTGCTGGGATCAAAGGTGTGTGTGGCCAATGCTGCTGCCGCCGCCGCCGCCGCCGCCACCGCCACCACCACCGCCACCACCACCACCCAGCCAGGGAGAAGGAACACTTAGTGCTGTGGCAGAGACCCTCGGTTCAGTTCCTAACACCTACATGGTACCTCACAACCATCTAAGCTCTAGTTCCAAGTGATCCTTTTCTGGCCCGTGGGCACCAGGAGAGGTTCATACATAGTGTACATCCATATATGCAGGCAAGCATTCACACACATAAATAAAAGTAAACCTTGAAAGGCAAACCTCCCTGAGAATTCACTGTCTACCTCTCCTTAACCAAAACCCTACCACTGTTTTGTAGCTTGGTTCAAGCCACAAATTCCTCTCCTTCACCTGAATGCCCAGAATCACTGAGGCCACTATTTGCTTGATGAGCACGGGCCCAGGGAAGAGGTGGCCCTGGGACATGGGCTCATCCTGAGAACGGCATCTACTTGGTTCCCTGGAGGGAAGGCAGGTGGGGGTGATGGCAGACTCCTCCTTGCAAGCCCACAGGACAGGAACTTGTTGTGCTTCATGCCCCTTGTTCATCCTCCCACCTGGTGGTCAGCCCCGCAGGCTACAACCTGAGCCTGACCTGATCGCTGGTCTCCTCTGCTCCCTGCCAATGCTGCATGCTGTTTGAAAAGCTGCTTCCCTTGGCCCTAGATGAGACTTTCAACAGCAAAAAGGGTAACTCTTCCCCAAACCCTCCAACGGCTCCCTACGTTGCAGAATAAAATCATCTTTCCAGAAGCTTCCATAAGTCCTGATCGCTGTCCCCCACCCCATTAGCCCCTTGGATGCTCCCTAGATATCTCGGCATGCACTGCCTCCACACCTGCACCCCAGCTGTCCTCTCTACCTCAGAGTAACTGCAGGGTTGGCTCTCCACTCTGGCTGTCTTCTCCGGTGTTACCCTCTTACAGAAGCCGCCCCTGTTCAAAACTACAGTCTGGGCTATGGTTTTGGCTCAGTCGGCAGAGCCCTTTCCTCAGATGCACCAAGCCCTGGATTGCATCCCAGCACCATATAAACCAGGTGTGGGGTGGCACATGCCTGTAATCCGTGCACTTGGAAGGTAGAGACAGGAAGAACATCTTTAGCTTTATAGGGAGTTGGGAGGCCAGTCTAGATAGATCTTGCCTTTAAAAAAAGCCAAAACCAAAACACAGGGCTGGTGAGATGGTTAAGCCGGGAAAGGTGCTTGATGCCAAGTGTAACAATCTATCTGAGCTTCATCCCTGGGACACACATGGTCAGAGAGAACTGATTCCTACAAGCTCATATACGCACGCATGCACACACGCACGCACACACGCACATGTGCGATAAAAAACAAAACAAAACAAAACACAGCAGGCCAAAGACTCAGTGTATGAGAATGTTTACTGCAGCATTGTCAGAAGTAGTAAAAATCCAACCAACAAACACAAAACAAAACAAAACCAACCCAGAGAGAACCCGAATGACTAGCCGAATAAATAGTGTGATCACTCTAACAACTAGTACATTGCTATACAAAAATAAGTTACATATCAATGCATCTTTATAGAAAGTTGGTCATGATAAACTGGTAAGTGAAAGAGGGTCTGTTACTGACCACATGGTATGATCCAGTGTTTAAGAACCGTATGTGTACACACCGAACAAGACATCCTTGAATGTGTCTTAGAAGCATCCAGAACGAGGAGCAGCCACCTAACTGCTGCTACAGCCCGCAGAGGGCAGGCTCCGAGGGGCCTGGAGACTGGCCCATGCTTGTTGACTTCTGGCTGGCAGCTGCCGTTTTTCTTTGAAAAGACAGACAGACCGACAGGGTTGTCCCCCCGACTCTTCTGTTCCCAGGAGGAGCCCCTCTGCCTCTGCAGTGCAATCCCACATCCAGCCAGAGGAGCTCGCCTTCCAAAAAGCCGGCTACAGCCACCTACCTGCCTCCCATCCTGGCCACCCACTCCCACCTGCGGCCTGCAAGCATGTGTCGAGCCAATGGGGCATACAGCCGTGAGCAATTCAAGCCTCAGGCCACCAGTAAGTGACCGACCGGCTTGGGCTAGGGGCGGTCTCCATCTTCTGGGGTTACAGCAGCCTGGGACAGACAGCACCATTCCCGTAGTGGGTAACAGACCCAGGCTGGTCACAGAGCAAAGCAGGCAGGTGGCCCTCTTCATCTTCCTACAGCTTTTTTCAAATTACTCCGATCCCAATCCCAGAGGGATGTAGATGCCAGCTGCTTATCCTCCTGGTCCCTCAAGGCTGTCTCCTCTGTATTTGAGCCCACATCTGGGAGCCCTCCTCCTGGCCTCTAACATCGCTCTTGGCCCAGACCCCCCAGCATCCCCACCTCAGAGGCCAGCGTTTCTGGGTTCTCTATCAGCTCTGTACTGCAGCCTTTTTCTTGGTGGTTTCAACTGCTAACCTGACCTGTCCTCCTGGGGGAAACGCTGGGTCTGCACGAGCCCCCTCCTCACAACCCAGACATCCTGCAAGTGTGCAGACAGGCAAACAGCTGTGCTGCACCTTACCAAGACCATCCCTGGGGCCTGCAGGAGATCTGGAGAAGGAGAAACGAAGACTCCAAAATATCTTTGCCACTGGGAAGGACACAGAGGAACGGAAGAAGGCTCCCCATGTGCGGCAAGAGGACCTACCTCCTGAGCTGGACCGGTTTGAAGAACGTGAGTGTGAGTGTGTGTGTGTGTGTGTGCGTGCGTGCGTGCGTGCGTGCGTGCGTGTGTGTGTGTGTGTGTGTGTGTAACTGATGAGGCTAATGAGAACAACATGACTTGATACAGACCTTCCCCCCACTCTCCCTCAGAGACCATGCGCTGCTGCCTGGGCCCCTGTGCACTCCCACTGCCCTGTGCACTGATGGCCCTTCCCCTCTGTGCAGTGGTGAAGGAAATCCAGGACAGGAAGGAATTCTTGGCTGCCATGGAGGCTCTGGGACAGGGCAAGCAATACCGAGGAATCATCATGGCTGAAATCTCCCAGGTAGGAGAGCCCAAGAAAGTGGGGAGCAGTGGAGCCAAATGGGAGGAGCCCCAGCCAGCAAGGCTTTAGCCTCTCAGGTGGCAAGGTCCCGCCACGCTGTCCGGCCGTGACAGCGGCTCCTCCTGATGGCCCTTTGCAGAAACTACGGGAAATGGAGGACATTGACCGCCGTAGGAGCGAGAAGCTTAGGAAGGCCCTTGCCACCACTTAATCCAAGACCAGGGTGGGCCAGCCCAATGCAACCACCAGAGCAGCACGACCACCAGAGCCCTCCTTCACTTCGCCAAGCGGTGCCATCCCCAGGTCTGCCCACCCACGGGAGCCACACCAGACCACGGCGTGGCACTGTCTTGGAGCACAAGACCAGACACTGCCCGGGGATGCAGAGGCCTCAGTGGTGCCCCTGAGCTGTGTCACAGCCACGGTGTTGAGGCCTTCTGTAGGGGGAAGAGCCCCAGACACACCGGGTTGACACCCAGGCTCACCACTTTGGACATTTGCCCAAGGGCACCCTCGCTGGCTCTCCCCCTGCCACTGCGGGCCTCCGGGTGCTCTGTGAACACAGTTCTGTCCTAGATATCTTAGGATCTACTTCTTTGCCTTCTTGTAGCCTTGGGCAAATGTTTAACCACAATGATTAATTGGCCAATAAAGCACATTTAACTTGGTCATGACAAGTGCCGCCTTGTTTCCACAGGGATAAAGCCTATTTATTCAGAATCAGAACCTGTCCAGCGCAGATGGGTTCTAACTGCTGTTTGCATATTTCCAGAGGAACAGAGAAACAAAGTTCCTGAGCAGCCTGCAGTCAGTGCTAACCCTCAGGACTGAGGAGTGAGCTGGGTGGTGGTGGCGCACTTGGGAGGCAGAGGCAGGCGGATCTCTGAGTTCGGGGCCAGCCTGGTCTACAGAGTGAGTTCCAGGACAGGCACCAAAACTACACAGAGCAAACCCTCTCAAAACCACCCCCACTCACACACACCAAAACAAACAAACAAAAAAAAGACTGAGGTGTGAAAACTCAGGTTCCCCAAGACACTCTATCCAGGTAGTTAGCTACAGAGGAGCCCACTTGGGGTTACAGGTCAACTTGGTGGCTTCCACCAAACGAAGACCACAGGAAGAAACATAAATGGAGGGAGCCATAATGAAAGGAACCCGACAAGGAAAGCAGCCCTGTTCCCCACCTGGTACGCCAGCCCCTCTGCCCCAAACTGATTCACTGCGTGCACATCAGTGTCCTCCCTTCTGCTGGTCACTGCTGACAGTGACCAACCAGCCCGACCTTCACTAGTATTCTATCATTTCCCTGTCTCCATAAATGGAAACATTTCCTGCACCTGTCACAAGTCCCATAATTCCAACAGAACACACAATCTGTCTTCTTGTCAAGAATAAACATGGCTACTATGCAGCAACCAGCAGATAAGGGTCAGGTCAGCAGGGACACACCCTCCAGCTCCCAGGCCTGGCCCGAGCGTAGCCCACCGTGGCCAACTTAAATGTGAAGTCAGCAGGTACAAATTGCGCCTGTACAAAAACTGGATTCTGGGTTTCTTTTGAAAAAAGTGGGCAAGATTTGGCAAGCCTGTGCCCACGTTCACAGGATACAGGTGACTTCTGTGAGAAAGGCTGTTCTCTTGAGACATGGAAACTGTCCTTGACACTGAGACAGCCTAAGGGAGTCCTCTCTTGGGCTACAGCAGCTGGGTCACAGGGCTCCTCTGAAAGACCTCTGAGCTGCTGGCCCTGTCTCCAGGTCAACAAGTGCGCTTGGAAAGACTGCCAGGGGCTAGATGGGAGTGAACAAGCATCTCTTCCCAAACAGGAAGGGAATCCTGCCCAATGGTAGGCAGTGGTGGTCAAGTTCCCAACTGAGTGGACAGCCCAGACCCTCCCGGGGGTACCTAGCCATGAGGTGGAGCACAGACAGGCAGAGGGGGACAGATGTGGATGTGCTCTAGACGACTGGGCACTGGCAACTGAGGTACAGTGCGTTCCTTCCCAGGATGCACAGAGTGGGGCACTAAAGACCCCGACAGCAAGAACAGTGCTTGGACCATAAGCTGCCTGGCATATTCCCCAGGGAAAAGAGGTACCACACCACTCTTCTCCCAGGGCCACTCAGTGGCGAGTGGCCATCGGTCCTTGGAGGGGACCAGCAACAGAGAGACAGACAGCACCGAGCACGGGAAGGAGTGTCCGTCCCCTGGGCATGGGGCGGGGCAGAAAGCCTGCATCACAAGTCAGGACACCTTAGAGGACAAGGGTTAGCACCTGCCCAAAGCACGCCTTCCTAGGCGAGTCTGAGTCACCGCCTCAGCAGACACCAGGGCCCTGCGTGGTGGGCGAGACTTCCCATGGAGCAAGGCCGAAGACGAGGGAAGAGCTCCCTACAACTTGGAAGGCAGGGGAAGCAGTACATTCCCAACCGACACAACACAGCGCTCACTGAGGGGCCGGAATCTGAGACTTCACAGAGCTCCCGAGTGAGGGGACGTGACTTTCAAGGGCATCTGTGTTAGACGCGGAGGCAGGGACTAAGGGTCCGGGTGAGAAGGAAGAAGCTGGGCAGCCAGCCTCGCCGCTGGCTTCTGCAAGGTGCACACGTCCCAGGCCAGGGCCTGCCTTGGGCAGAGGAGCAGCAAAGACTCCATCTGGCCTGGCTCAGAGGAACAGGGAGAGCGGCTGCCTCCTGCCTAGACCTGCACCCCTCCTTGCCCCTGGGTCCTGTCACAGCAGCTGGAGTCAAAATCCAAGGGGGCAGGACTGAGTCACAGCTGTCTGGGCCACAGGGAAGAGGGAAGAGAACTTTAGCCTAGACCAGCTGGCGACCCCAAGGAGGGCAAAGCTCACCCAGGGACTCCCTCCCGAGGTCATCGTGTCCCCCTTGGCAAGTCTTAGGGCAAGCAGAGCGCTGCTCTGGCCTCAAGGCTCCCGGAGAGGAGAGGAAGTCGGCTTCCCCCTCTGTCAGCTCTTGTCCCCAGGGGCCTTGCTTTTGGTGGCCCGCTTGTTTCCCAGAAGCTTCAGCATCTTCATGGTCTTGAACTTGCCTTTCTTCTTACCCTCAGACTCAGCCTCTTTCTGGAACTCTGCAGCAAAGAACAAAGGTACTCAGCCAGGGAAGGAGGGGAGCAGCTGGGGGAGGGCGGGGCAGGATGGAGCAGTGGCCAGTGTCACTGAGCAGGTGTGTGACCATCAAGGCTCCGGTCCATCCATGCACCAGGCCACATCACTATACCCAATCTCTCTTTCCTCCCTGAGATCCACACCTGGGAGAACAATCTGGAACCTCTGAGGCAGCGGTGCTCAGCCTGTGGGTCATCGCATATCCTGCCTACCAGATATTTACATTACGACTCGTAACAGTAGCAAATGAAGTAACGTTAAGGTTGGGGGTCAGCACAACATGCGGAAGGTATTAAAGGAAGGCTGAGAACCACTGCGAGGTCTAGCTCACTTTTTGTTCAATAGCTCAGGTCACCTGTACTGAGGAAAACAGCGCTGTAGGCCACAACAGAAATACCAGCTGGTGACTGTGGGACACCTCGGGAGCCGTCTGCCCAAACCACAACCTCTCACAAGGAAAACGTGTGCCTTTGAAAAGAAGCAACACCACGCCTGCATGCCTGCATGTGTAGGTCCCTAATCCCAGGCTGGTGTTTTACAGAGTCAGCTCAGTAAGCCTCAGTCCACACCGGGGAGCGCGCCACCACAACACAAGCGAGGCGAGGTGAGGGCTGAAGGAACCGGCTCGGCCACTCAGAGCTTGTGTCTGAGCAGGGACCAGAAGCCAGTGAGCCACAGGTGGAACCAGGGTCAAACCCCAAGCCCCAGCTCCCAGGGTAGCAACCTTTGGCCACTCTGATCCTGAGCAACTAGGTTCCCACGCCAACCTGCAGAGCTCTGGAAAGATATTCTGCTCAAGGCCAAGGGCCCCTGGTAGGCCAGAGTCCTCCTGTGGACACAGGGAATCAATCTCCTGGCTCCCCTCCCAGTCTGAGCCACAGCCACGTGGCTGTGACTGGCTTCCCTCAATTCACTTGGCTCCCAGCAACTCAGGGCCTGGGAATCTGCATCACAACCACCATCCCTACAGGGCTTGCTCAACCTTCCACTTCCAGGCTGCGAACACAGGCTGGAGCTCACAGGTAGGTGCTGGCCCCTCCTCAGGTTGGGCCTTACCTTTGTTCCTGATCATAGCTTCCACCATCTTGTCTTCCTCCTCATCCCTGGGGTGGAAAAAACGCGCTGAGTGCCCCCAGCAGGAAGGAACCAGGCCACCTGTGAGTCCCCTCCAGCCTCCAGGCCCCACAGGGCTGGAGAAGTGTGAGGGGAAGCTGGCAGTGAGGGCGGGGCTAACTTCCTCCCGGGCTCTGCCAGGAATCGGCTCCACCCCCGGGGTCCCAGGCATGGCACCTCTGGCGGTCCTCATCCAGGCAGGTGACAATGGCATTGCGCTGCTCGATGAGGGTCATGAACTCCTTCATCAGCGCATCCTCTCGGTCCCGATCCTCCTTAGTCCAGTCCTTTTCTGCCAAAGGAGAAAGCCAGGGTGAGTGGTCGGGACCCTCTTCTTCACGGTAACAGGACACACCACCTGAGCTCCTGGGAAGACTGCAGGCCATCCACACTGGGGGATGAGAGGAGGACCCAGAGTGCCACTCAAGCTCTTAGAGAGATGGAGGTTGTTCTAGAAAAAAAAACAAGGACACTTGGCTGCCCACCAACACCCTTCAAGGGCCAGAAATCCTCAAGGGCTTCCTGCCGGCCAAACACACTGTTCAAGGATGCTGTGCAGGACCAGCATCCCCCAAAGGCTTCCTGCGAAAGACATTTGTTGGTGGCTTCTTAGGGGAAGCCAGATGGACTTCCTTGAGTGGACAGGGATGGGGATGACAAGGGACCTCCAGAGGTCCACCTGCAGGAGCTGTGTGGTCCCAGTCACACAGTGGAACGTGTCCCCAAGGCCACAGGAGGGGAAGCGAGGCCAGGAGAATCCCTGATGTCACGAACACTCGCCACCATCCAGTTCTTCCCTCCTCCCGGGCTAGTGCCGTCTCACAGGCCACCCTCAGGGGCCCACCTACGCCCGGTCTCTCACCATCTACAGGCTCCAGGCCTGGGCACCCACACCCGGTGCCCTCACGCGCCACACATCTAGAAATAAACATCTGGAAGCGACCAGGAACTGCCCCATTCCCCTATGATCTCTCCTCGCCCAAACGGAGGGTCAGGAAGCCCAGCCCCGTTCTGGGGACAGAGTATGGCTTCACAGTCCCGCTCTGCCTTCCTTCCACCTAGAGCCTGGTAAGGGATGTGCTAATCTACACGTAGGGAAACTGAAGCTTTGGAAGACGAAGCCTCTGGCCAGCAATGCCCAGAGAAGGTGAGGCCATACTGACTCCAGGCAGCCTGACCTCCTACATGGTGGACTTTCTATGGGGCCAACTCCCTCAGGGTCACACGAGCCACCTTCATCTTCAAAAGCAGCCATCGGGGGAAAGCTAAAGAGGACAGGGTGTGCGGCCAGAGCCTCTGACGGTTTCATACCCACTGGAGTCACACTGGGCTCCTGAGTGGTGGCCACACCCCCCAACTCCTGCTGGCTGGGAGTGACTCACAGTTGGCAAAACATGCTAGGACATTCTGTGACTTGGGGGCACTCCAGTCTTCTCAGTTCCCCAGTCAATGGAGAGGCAAGACTCCAGTCAGAAATGATAGTCTGGTGTGGGGACAGGCACAGAGCAAAGACAGAGCCAGCGGGGCTGGAGAGATGGCTCAGCGGTTAAGAGCACTGGCTGCTCTTCCAGAGGACCTGAGTTCAATTCCCAGCAACCACGTGGTGGCTCACAACCATCTGTAATGAGTTCTGATGCCCTCTTCTGGCATGCAGAGAACTCATACATAAAATATGAATTAAGGGGAAAAAAAGAATGTATTAAAAAAAAAAAAAAAAAAAGACAGAGCCAGCAGCCCTACACAAATGAAGACATCCCAGCCTCTGAGTCCCAGCTGTGAAATGGAATGATGGCCCATGACCCGAGCCTGGCATGATGTCACGACACAGGAAAGAGGTCAGAGCCCTGGATCCTTCCATGGCTCTGCGGTCTCTACTAGAAGCTATAGATCAGTGCATGCCACAGTCACACACACACACACACACACACACACACACACACACACACACTGCATGTCAGTGCATGTCATAGACACACAGACACATACACACACACACCACACACAC